TGCGTGCCACAGTCACTCTCCTACTCTTTTCAACCCCACGGACTGGAGCCCTTCGGGCTCCTCCATCCAAGGGAGTCTCCAGGCAAGAATATTGGAGTGTGTTGCCACTTCCTTCTCCAGGGGATCTTCCCCACCCAGGGATCAAATCCATATCTCCTGCATTTGGCAGGCAGATTCTTTACCACTGAACCACCTGGGAACCAGGGCCCACAGACACAGCTGGGGTTCAATATAGTCTGCAAAAATATTGCCTTTCTCACATAGCCTCAGACAGCATCATAACAAATGCAAATGATCCCCAACCCATTTGAAAATAACCTAGAACTTCAGTTGAAAATCAGTTAACACCTACCTGGAGCTTAGTGTGAGCCAGACGCTGGGTGAAGAATCACAATTTACAGGCAATTCTTCCTGCCTCTCTTCTGAATGAGCTATGCCCTGGTGTAGAGGGGGATGACCTAGATGGCTCTCAGTTCTACCACACTTTTCATCGTTCTGTTTGAACCCTTTGCCTTTAGGAGGAAGAATCTCCCATTGCTAAGAAAAGATGAAAAAATTTCCTGCAGCAAGGCTTTGCTCAATGAAAATCAGCTACTAGCTATTTTATCCGGTGCTTGAATAAAGTAGCATCTCAGCTGACTCTGCAGGAGAACCGTAATGAGGCACAGGGTTTTCAAGGATCATTTTGATTTCCTGTGGCTTGTTGGCTGTTTTGCAAACTTTAGAATTTAACTGTGCATACAGTGCAGGAACACCTCTAACACAGGAGCTATTTTGAAAGTAAGATGAGATGATGTAAACAGGATTCTAGACACACAGAGGGAGGCAGGTGGTTGGTAAGTACCACTTCCACCTTAAATGATTCCCTAAAGTCCTGTCACTGGGTCTGTGTGCCCTGGGTTTGAATGAAAAGCTCACAAAGGGCCATAAGAGTTGCAGCAGCCTGGTCTGGTCCCCTGGGAAGGCACGGCATGTCAACATCTGTCACAAGCACAGAAGGTGAGCAAATCCACATAGGCCTGCAAAGAATGAGCCTAGGAAGGTCCAAGCTGCAGCATATTATGAAGTTGAGTCATTCTGTTAGCCATGTGACTAGAAATTCATGTCTGAATTTAGATTTAGGGAGCACCCAGAGCTTCCTGTGACTGCTGTAACAAAAGACCACAAAATTGGTAGCAAAAACAACAAATATGTATTCTTTCGAAGTTCCAGAGTCTAGAATTCTGCAACCAAGGTATTGGCAGGTTACACTTCTTCTGGAGGCTCTAGGAGAAGATCCTTTCTGCCTCTTCCAGCTTTTGGCGGTCGTCAGCAAATCTTGGCTTCCCTGGCTGGTGGCCACATCACTCTGATCGCTGCCTCTGATGTCACGCTGTCTCCTCCAAGTGACTCTTCCTCTGTTTCCATCTTATGGGAATACGTGTGATCGCTTTTAGGGATAACCTAGGCTGACCTCCTCTCTCGAGGTCTTCCTCTCAGGACTTCCCTGGTGGTCCAGTGGTTAAACATCCTCCTGCCAATGCAGGGGACATGGGTTCAATCCCTGGTCTGGGAAGATTCTCCATGCCGAGGGGAAACGAAGCTCAAAAGTTGCAGCTATTAAAGCCCACATCCCCAGACCCCATGCTCCACAACCAAAGAAGCCACTGCAAAGAGAAGCCAGCACAGGGCAGCTAGAGAGCAGCCCCACTCTCCACAACCAAGAAAGGCTGTGTGCAGCAATGCAGACCTAGGAAAGACAAAGCTAATTTTTTTTTTAAATACCTCCCTCTCAAGATGCGTAACATAGTCCCAACTATTGTCATGCAAAGTAATACTCTTTTGCTTAGAAATATTCACAGATTCCAGGAACTATGACACAGGATATCTCGTGGAGGCCACTTTTCAGTCCGCATCTCTCATTTGTTCAGTGTTGGCCCACACCTTCATCTTATGCTTACGTTATGCTAGATCTAAATGCTTCATTTTGGGGACAGACAGCAGAGGAAGGTGGGTCTCTACCATCCAGGGGAATACTCTGTTAATCTGTGCTCATCAATGCCTACACCTAAGCAGGGCTAAGATTTGAAATATTTAGCACCTGATAGAACAGTGGCCCTGGACCAGCCAATGAGGTACCTACTTGTTAACATCCTGCAGAATTCTACTTGCTGCCGAGCTTTAGAACTCACCTCTGTCAACATTTCTGTGAAGCGATCTCAATCAGACCTTTCCTTGTCCTGCAAACGCTTGTGATAAATTGCTGAAAATTATGATAGACGTTTACCTGATAAAGTTTAAAGACTAAGAAATAGAAGTAATTAATCAATGAGTTGATTATTCACGTCTCAGGTCTGTTTCTCTTCGTTCTCTCTTTGGGTCTCTCTGTCTCTTCCTCTTTTTCTCTTTTCTTCTACTATTCCCATGTGTGGATCCAAACAGAATGGTTAAACTTTCTGGCAGAGAAACATTGCCTATGGTTGGTATTTAGGGCAATTGCAAAAGGTTTAAACAAATTTTAGTATCTAATATGAGGATGATATTTACTGTCCTCCTGAAAAAGGGAATTTAATATAAAAGTTTTAAGTGCTTAATTATAATCTTTCTAAAAACTATCTTTAGAGTGATATGTCAGCTGTTGGCCTATCTCTGGAAGTCAGTAATAAGATATGACAGAATAACTTATTACGCCTGCCCAGCTTGCTTCCTACTACTTGTTAAAATTACAATTTCATATCAAATACCATCCATGTAGTAGATTATAAATAATAAGTACTGAATTCATTATTTGGGGACTATCCTAGAGAAAATAGATTACAAAGCAGGCATTTTTTCCCTCTAAAGATTAATTCCAGAGAAAAAAGAGCCAAAATAGGGGAATAGATTATCTCTATAAATACATGTAAGATATAAGAATGTATTCAATCCAAGATATTCTTATAATATGGAACCAAAATACTAGATGTCTATACCAATCCCCAACAAAATTTGAATGTAAGTAATGGATTTGTAATGTTGACAAAAACTCAAGTCTGGAGATTATTTCCACAGCACTTTATCCCCACATGAAACGATCCATTTGGAGAGGGAATTCTTTTCCATCTGCCACCACCTGAATGCAATGCATGAGTCTCCATGAGGACAGAGACCTTGACAATCTCACTCCCTCTTGAATGTCCCTCAGGCCTGCAAACATTCCTGTGGGGGGGCAGAAGGAGGATGTACAAAACTGCAGAGAATCAAAAGTGTGAGTCACTTAGCCATTCCTTTTTTCAGAAGATCTCCCCAACACAGGGATCGAAACTGGATTTCCCAAATTGCAGGCAGATCCTTTACCGTCTGAACCACCAGAGAAGCCCAAGAGAATCAAAGTCATACCCAACACAGCTCCCTCCTTCACACGGCACCGCCTGGACCCAGCTCTGTCGGAACTCTGGGTTTCCAGGCCACAGGCAAAGTTGCATCAGGGAAGAAACTGATACACATCCAGAAAAACCAGTTTGCATTCCTGGTCCTGCCCCCAACTGTGTGACTTCTGAGCAAGTCGCTCCCCACTCTGAGCTGGTTTCCTTGGCTCTTCAGGGAAGGTCCATTCCTGCCCTGCTCACTTCACAAAAAGTTACAAAAGGCAGGAATTCCTGTCTGTGTTCACACGTGCTCAACACCTGTCTTTGCACACGCTTCTTCCTCTGCTCTTAGTATCTTTAAACCACCTTGTCCACTTAACTCACCCACCCTGTATAGCCCATCTCAAGTCTGTATCTTCCACAAAGCACTTCCTGATTCCTCTATATTCAAAACCACCTTCCCTTCCATTAAGTCACCCCATCACTTTATCTGTACATCTCTGGAAAATGTAAAAGTGTAACATTCTGCTGTTACCTGTTTACTGCATAAGAAATCCAGGTAAGAACACTAAATTGGCCAAGAACTACCAGGCCAAGCCCTGTGGTCATCAGTATTCTTCCTGATTAGTCTAGAATGCGTCAGAACAAGAGGGGTGTACAGGAGAGAGGATTCACTGCAGACATTCCCATCAATTTACAAAGTGAGGTCAAGACTTGATCGTCCACATTTTAATTTGTCATAGCTGAGAGACAGGTAAGGGAGGCACCAGGGAGTCTCCATGGCTGACTACAGTGTAATTAACCCATCTGAACTGCTTATCGTAGGAACACATAACGACAGAGTGGAAACTGACCAGTGTGACCTGATTCTGGCAAACAGTACATGGGTGGGAAGCTTCGAGAACTGTGGAGGGCTCACTTCTGGTCACCCTCCTTATCTTGATCTTACCATTTATCACGCAGATCAAGAGCTTCTTTGCCACATCCTTAAAAAAAAAATCTACTTTCTCCAGAGGGAAAATGTGAGAGGTGAGGGATAAACTGGGAGATTGGAGTTGACATATACACACTACTATATATAAAATACATAAGTAATAAGGATGTAGTGTAGCACACAGGGAACTCTACTCAATCCTCTGTAATGACCTGTATGGGAAAATAATCTAAAAGAATGGATAATGGATATATGTATATGTATAACTGATTCACTTTGATGTATGCCTGAAGCTAACACAGCATTGTAAATCAACTATTTGTTGCTATCGTCATTATTCAGCCGCTCAGTCATGTCTGACTCTGTGCAACGCCACGGACTAGAGCACGCCAGTCTCCTCTGTCCTCCAGTGTCTCCTGGAGTTTGCTCAGACTCATGTCCATTGAGTCAGAGATAACATCTAGCCATTTCATCCTCTGTTGCCCCACCTCGTTTGGCTTTCAACCTTTCCCAGCATCAAGATCTTTATCTCCTATACTCCAATCAACTATATTCTAAATCAACTATACTCCAATATTTTTTTTAAATCACTTCCTGATATACCTTTACAATCTAAAAAAAAAAAAAAAAGTCAAATGAGTTACCCTCTTTCCTAAGTAAAACAAAGCATCTTAGGCTGTACTTTAACCTACACACACGAAGGTCCTAAATTTTCACTAACTTTCTCTTCTGTGTTTCAGAAGTTTGACTCGGTGGAAGCCATCATTGAACACTACAAGTATTTTCCTATTATACTCATTGACGGGAAAGATAAAACTGGGACCCACAGGGAGCAGTGTTACCTGACTCAGGCCCTCCCTGTCAACAGACACTTCTCACCTAGGTAGCCTGGTCTGTTGTTTCATCTTCAGATCAGTGGATCCAGTGCCTCTATCATTTTTCCCTTTGTTTCAAAAAAGATTATTTTCTGTGGCTTCAAGGAATTACTCCTTTGATTTTGCAGAAAAGAAAAACATTCTACAATGGAAACTGGAAAATCAACATGGTTTTGAAAGCTCACACCACAGAAGAAATAAGTATAAGATGCAAAAATTAAAAAAAAACTGGTTTTTAAAAAATTTCTTCCAAAGAAAAGAACTACAAACAAGGTCATTATGCTCAGGTTACAGATGAGCAGCTACAGTTTGAAGAAGCTATTGCTTCAGGGTTTGCAACTAGCACTTGATAAGTCTGGGTGAGAGTCCCCAAACCTATGATCCTTCTAGTGCCTGGTGCTGTCCTCTTGATTTCAAAACTGTTTGGACTTGTGAATTCAGAATGTCTTTATGACTCCTTATGCTAAAGATGTAGGTGAATGTTAGCTCTCCTTTATCTGTAATTCTAGAAATTTAATTATAGGGAAGGATGTGGTATGGAAAAACAGATCACTTGTGAACACCACTTGAAGGACAGAAATCAGAAATGTTTTAACATGGTGTGAAATGGCTTCCCACAGAGCATGGCAGGTAAAGAATCCTCCTACAGTGCGGGAGACACAGGAGACATGGGTTCGATCCCTGGGTCAGGAAGATCCCCTGGAGGGGGAAATTGGCAACCCGCTCCAGTATTCTTGCTTTGAGAATTCCATAAACAGAGGAACCTGGCAGGCTACAGTCCGTGGGGTCGCAAAGAGGTGGACACAGCTGAGTGACTGACTCATATGTGTATGAAACCACCACAGTACCATTACCAGCTGACTCTCTTTAGAGTAGCTTTAAGCCCAATGGAATGAACAAATTCACAGTAAGAGAGTAAGGGGAAGTCTGAGGGAAAGTAGAATTTTTATAATTCCAACTGCAGACTTCCATTCAAAGGGAAAGAACTGTTCTCAAATTAATGCCAGTGTCTTACAGGAACTTTGTACACATCATGATATAGTCCCCTCTGAGTACTAAAGGAAATGGCAACCCACTCCAGAATCCTTGCCTGGAGAATCCCAGGGACAGGGGAGCCTGGTGGGATGCCGTCTATGGGGTCGCACAGAGTCGGACACGACTGAAGCGACTTAGCAGCAGCAGCAGCAATACTAAAAGGATTACATTTCATTCCTGTTTCATAACACAGATGAAGAAATGGGCTCAAAGACGTCACTGATGTTACTCATATCAGAGATCCCAGATTTTTATTATCGTTGTGCCTGGTTTCATCCAAGCATGTCTCCCCAGGTATCTTCTCTGCCCTAGGCAATTTTATAATCAGGTTGAAAAATTTAAAAGAGACAGGGACAGTTTGAAAATGCAGATTTACTCATGTTAAAATATATAAATAAACTCTTGTAGCAGTGTAAAGTTTATTTTAATAAAGAAAAAAGAGTGGTGATTGAAATTAATAGAACACCATGAACTTTAAAAGTTTTCAAAGCCTACATGTGAAATACACGGAATATTTATGTAACTGTAGTTTAGCTTTAATGCAGAAGTAAAGCCAGAAAGAATGAGAAGGTAAGAGATATCAAAGGAAACAATGCAAGCGATATTTCCCAGGCAGCATGGAAACAGACTCTGCAGAGAGGACACAGGCTTGGAGGCAGAAAGAATCTTACCCTCACCCTGAAAAGCTATTAAAAGATTCCTGATAACTGATTCACTTCTTACTGGGGCCATGCCATTCCATGCTGTGTTCTCAAAAAATGTTTCGGAGTCTCCTCAAGTATTGTTGTTAAAGTCAAAGAACATCAGGTGGTTGTTGCTATCGTTTAGGCTTATGTTTTTAAAAATTGTTTATTATTTCTTATTCATAAATGTATGTGATAAAGCTAAAAGGAAAAAGAAGAACCATCTTAAAATGCTCACAATGCTTATACATATGAAAATTTCTGGAAAGAAATAACTTTCTTAATAATGACAGAGGTTGCTTCAAAGGAGTGGGGTTGGGGGACCATGCTAGTTGAGTCTTCCAGAACTCAGAGGCCAAGATAAGAGTTAGATGTGCAAACATTAATTGGAGATAATGACCAAGATTGAGAGAAGGAACAGGGGTAGGTGGGAGAGACTTCAGGCTATGATGGAAGTCTGACACCTGTGCGAGGATGAGGGAAGGAGAGAGGAATGGGTAGAAAAAGCATCAGATTGAGATGTAACTCTGGGAGGGGCTTGGTCAGCCCGTCGGCAAGATCAGAGCAAAGACTGCCCGCAGAGGACAGAGTCTGTGTTGTGCAGAAATGGCCATGTATTAGTTAACACCAGGCTAAGTCGTGGCCAGAGGCTACCCAGGAAAACACGACCTTCACATGCTCTGGGAGACCCAGAAGGTGCTATCACTAGAGGCCAACAAATAACTTCTTGATCAGCAAGTTCTTTCAAGAGCAATTCAAGGGGCTCACCTCCATGCCTGCCACAGTGACATTCTGATTTTCAGTGTTGATTGTAATAAGGACATTTTGCGTGTAATAGATTACTTAAGAATAAAAATATATAAATTTCAAAGGTACTTTATTCTTACAACAATTTGCAAAGAAGGCAAGGGCAGGTATTCTTATCAATTTTATAATTAAGGAAATTATGTCTCCTTGGCCAAAATCTTAGAGTGACCTATTTGTGGCTAGAACCAAGGTCTTCATACACAGTTTTCCTATTCAGTGTCTAGATATTTGTTGGATCTGTAATTGAAAGTTCAATGATTTGGGCTTGGCATGCCCAAATTTCAAAGAGTTTTATTCCCTTTTCAACCATTTTTTCAGTTGTTAAGTGTCACTTGAAACCTAGCTTCAATACAGTAGTGGAATTTTAGCTTTATCTGATCATAGCATCTATTCATTCAAGATATTTCTTTTTGAGTAAATAATTTCCATTTTGGATCAATTTATATCTTCCTCATATTTAATAATATCTTGTTAAAAGCACTTGTTTGTGTATTGCATGTATATTTGTTACTAGGCATTCTTGTAGATGTTGGAATAACAGCAGTGAATTAAGTGGGAGAAACAGACAATAAATAAATATACAATGAATAAGACAACCTTAAGTTAGTTTCCCATTACTTTGATGTGTTTTCTTGACACTTTTCACTAAGTGCTTGTGAGTGAGGTCAATATTAGATATTTTGATGAAACTCATTGACTTGGATTTAAAAAGTATTGAACCAGAAATTTTTAAAATTTCCCAGAGTTACATGGAAAACTGCCCCTCTTGGTATGTATGTGTGAGTAACCTTGTAACCATGTCATAGATTAACTCTTCTGCTCAAATTATGATAAAGGAATGAAATTTTAACCCACTATCAAATTTAGTTCATTGCTGGGTGTGTGTGTGTACACATACATTTTTTATAAGATAGTCTATAAAATAAATGATCAGCACAATATTTCTGTATAGACTTGTCTATATTGAGTAATATTTGTTCTAGCCAAGCATACTTTCAGGTTTGGTTTTTTTTTTTTTTGCACATTACAACTGTACTAACTTAAATGAAAGCAAATATGTAATTAAATGTCATGACTATAACTGTGTATTAAGTTCAAAATATAGTTTAATTTTGTTTGATTCATGCTCTATTATCTCTCAAAGCCCTTTTGAAATTGTATTTATAGTTAATTTATGATAAATTTTCTAGAACAATTTTTGGCATGCTAGATTTGAGAGATAAAGGCCAAAAAGACCTAATTTCTGTGCTAGAGGGCTAAAAGCCTGGCAGGCAAGATACACACGTAGTTAAAATCATGCAGTGAAGAATAATAGATTTGGTCATTGTCTCCCTTGGACCACCATTGCACTGGTAAGCCTGGGTGTAATCAAGGAAAACTGCCCAGGGGAGATGTCCAAGCAGAGAGTTAAAAACTGATGGCCTAAACTGCAAGTTTTAGAATTACAAAAACCTCATCAGTTGATTTTTGAGTATTCTTGTCTTTGTTTGTTGTTGTGCAGTCTCTCAGTCATGTTGGACTCTTTGAGACCACATGGACTGCAGCATGCAAAGCTTCCTTGTCCTTCACTATCTCCAGGAGTTTGCTCAAATTCACATCCATCAAGTCGATGATGCCATCCAACCACCTCATCTTCCACCACCCACTTATCCTCCTGCCCTCTATCTTTCCCAGCATCAGGGTCTTTTCCAATGAGTTGGCTCTTCTCATCAGGTGGCCAAAGTATTGCAGATTCAGCTTCAGCATCAGTCTTTTCAATGACTATTCAGGGTGAACTTCCTTTAGGATTGACTGGTTTGATTTCCTTGCAACGGGACTCTCAAGAGTCTTCTCCAACACCACAATTCAAAAGCATCCATTCTTTGGCACTCAGCCTTATTTATGGTCCAACTCTCACATCAGTATGTGACTACTGGAAAAACCATAGCTTTGAGTATATGGACCTTTGTTGGCAAACTGATGTCTCTGCTTTTTCATATGCTGTCTAGTTTTATCATAACTTTCAAGGATCAAGCATTCTTTAACTTCATGGCTGCAGTCCCTGTCCACAGTGATTTTGGAGTCCAAGAAAAGAAAATCTGCCACTGTTTACACTTTTTCCCATTCTATTGGCCATGAAGTGATGGGACCAGATGCCATGATCTGAGTTTTTTGAATCTGAGTTCCAAGTTGGCTTCTTCAGTCTCCTCTTTCACTCAAGAGGCTCTTTAGTTCCTCTTTGCTTTCTGCCACTAGGGTGGTATCCTCTGCATATCTGAGGTTGTTATTTCTGCCAGCAATCTTGATTCTAGCTTGTGATTCATCCAGTACGGCATTTCACATGATGCCCTCTGCACATAATTTAATAAGCAGGGTGACAGTATACAGCCTTCACATACTCCTCCCCCAATGTTGAACCAGTCTGTTCTGTGTTTGGTTCTAACTGTTGCTTCTTAACCCGCATACAGGTGTCTCAGGAGACTCTTTAGGGCACTATTCTAGGTTATT